GAAGCCCCGTAAAACAAACATGAAACAAGTACATGTATAGAGCATTCGACCAGTGAGTTGAACTTTGTCCTGGTGCTTCTCCAGCCACAAGGGAATCTCCTGCTGGAGATGTAGGCGTCGCCGCCTGTGAGTTCGCTGGCGTCGGTTGGTGCACTGTAAGTGCTGACAATCTTCCAGAACCCTGTGGCACTGTAAGATGGACATCCCCATGTCCCGCACTGTCTGAAACCGGGGTTCCAACATCCACAGCTGTGCTCGGAGTCACAAGGTCCACAGTCGCAGGTGCCGCCTTAGCTGCCTCTTCCACGACTCTCCCAACCGAGCCTCTGATCTCTGTTGCTGGCTCTGTCGCCTTGGACTTCTCAGTCGCTTTGGACTTCTCTGTCCCTTTTGCCTTCTCTGTCCCTTGGGTCTTCTGTGGCGCACCTTTCACTGGCGGTGCCTTGCTTGGTGGTCTCTTTGGCGGTGTTTTGGGTGGAGTTTTAGGTCTCCTCACATCTCTGCTCGAGGAGGCCGCTTCTCCCAGAGGTGGGTCCTGAGAAAACTTAGCCGGAAGTCTCGCACTCGGCGCTGGTGGTGGCCGCATAGCTGCTGAAGTCTGCGGCGGAACGCCTGGTCTGCTCCTGGCAATCTTTGGGCTTCCACCCATCGGAGGTGGTGGTGGTGGCAAGCTCTTCTTGACACCTCCTCCAACCGTGGACATAGTTCCCAGATATTGTCCGCCCACCTGAGATGCTGAGTCTTCTGGACGGACATCGTCAAACTCCGGGGTCTCCTGAGGAATGCTTCCCATATTTCCCTGAAGCCTGACTCGAGGTCGGGTCTCCCCTGCCCCCTCGTACTTGATGACGCCCTCAGTGAGTGATACTCTCCTCATCTTCTGCGGGCAATTGGCACTCAAGTGCCCCTTCTCACCACACTGGTAGCAAGTACGAGTCTCAGTAGGGTACCTGGAAAAACCTGACTGCACAGTTCGAAACTTCTGCTCCCTGTCGATTGGCTTGACTTCCATTGTCTCTCTTCTGCCTGAAATAGGGTCGAAAAAACTTCGAACTGGTACATCTCCTCCACGGGCTGGAATCTCAAAGGCTGGTGCAGGCTGAGCACGCTCTTCTCTGGCAGTCTTCTTAATCTCTTCCCACTTCGCCTTCTGGCGTCTCCTCGTCTCCTTGTTCTTGAAGCGATTCTTTCCAGGTAGCTTGGCACCTGATCCAGTCTCGCTCTTGACCTTGATGATTCTCTTCCGAGGCATCAGCTTCGCAGCTGGGCGCTTCGGCATCTTCTTCACCTGAGGTCGCTTCGATCCAGAAGACGGTCCACCTGAAGGTTTCGATTCTTCTGCAACTGGCGCACCCGCAGCCGCTTCCTTTGTATCAGGAGTGCCTGACACTGGTTCTCTCTGTTCCTGAGTACCTGAGGCAGCTGCTCCTTCTGGTGCAGCTTCAGTGACTTCCATGACCCTTTCATCTCTTCTCATCACTTCACCAGTCTCTGGATCCTGGCGAGGTCTCCCTGTCGTGTAATCGACACGGGTCAATCCAGACACCATGGACTTGTTGTCCTCTTCCTCTGCCATCAGCGCGACAGCAAGAGGCAAACTGTCCGGGTTTGTCAAGGTTTCTTGAACAAACACAGCTTTCACATGACGAAATGATCTCTGATCTCCTGAAACTTGCAGTTCTTCTTCCAAAACAAACGAAATCAAACGTTCTCCGCACAAAACACAGTTCCTGTTTGACAAACATGAAATTGGTTTTGAATAACTGTTGTCACAAACTTTCAAGCAAAAACCAAGGATGTTCGAAATCAAACTGAAATCAACTTTCACAAATCCAAGCATGTTCCTGTAAAATAAAAACTTCTGAGTTGGCAAGCACTTGGTAAAACAATCTGCTGGGTTCAAAGTTCCTGGAACGTGCGACAAAAGCAAAACTTTGCGATCCATCAACTCTCGGAGCCAATAAACTTTAATCTCAATGTGTCGGCTCTTTCGTTGCAAATCAGATGCTTCGAGAAGCATTTTCCCTGACAAACTGTCGGTCTTGACGACCAGTGGAAACAAGTATGAAACTTTCATAGAGTCTTCGTCATCAGACTCTGCTTCGTCATACCAAGTCACCTGAGCGTCCTGAGGGATAATGTCAACCCATGGATACAAACGACCAAGCACAAAACCCAAAGTCCTGAGCAAGCCGATTCCTTCCTGAACACCTGACTGTAATGCAACAAGCTCAGCCTCACAGGAGGAGAGCGTCACAGCTGACTGGTGCCTGCTGAAACACTTCATCAAACACTGTTGAAAAATGAAGCAAGTACCTGAAACAGAACGACGTCCAGTACTTTTCATGGGTGCAAACCCAGCATCTGTGTACACTTCCAAACCTTTCACATCGGGCAAAGCAAGCTCTTCTGATGGAAAACGCAATGCAATGCAACATCCATGTCAGTCATAAGGTACCTGAGTACAGCACGCAAACATTTTTCATGGGTCTCAAACGGTTGTGCCTGACCAGTTCCAAGCATGCTGACCAAAATCAACAAGTCTTGACGAGTTTGGCAATACCATGACAACGACCTAGAACTCTGCGAAAACGTGCATGTCCTTCTGCTGACAATGGTTGGCTTCCTTCCTGTTCCAGAATGGGACGCAAATCCGGAAATGTTGTGCTTCCCTTCTTCAAATCAAACTCAGCAAACGCTTCATCCAAGTACGTTGGATCCACCTGCATGTACAAAGCAGATGAGCCTGGCCTTCGAAAGATACTTCGACCAAGGAAACGCAAGTGTCCCCCTTTCAAACCAACGCGGCCAGTCTCTCGAACCTTGACATGAGCTGATAGTGCAGTCATGAGTGTCTTGAGGGCTGATTCCGAAGTGGTGGCAACAAGCAAATCATCGACGTACGCCATGATGACGATGGGTGCCTGATCTTTGCCAACCATTCGACCAACATACAAACAAGGCTCCACAGTACCTGAAACTACTCCAATGCTCTTGACCATAGATGAAAAGAATACGATCCATGCCTGAGAGGCAATTCTCAAACCATTGATGCCTTTCTCAGCCCATAGAAAAATTGGTTCTCCCTTCATAGTTGACATGGATAGTGGCATCCGGAGAATTTCTGGTCGCTCCAATGGTGAGTTCATAAACGCCTGAGAAACGTCCAAACCTACCAAAAACATGGCTTGATTCCCAACACTCCACGCCCCACAAGCAACTCCAAGAACCATCCTGAGTGCTTCAATACTGGGCGTTGGGCTAGAGATGCCCATACTTCTGGCAGACTGACCACTTGCAAAGTCTTTGGCAACGATTCTGGTGCGTACACCTTCCTGAGCTTCTTCTTTCTCGTTGGTAACCCACCTTGTGCCAATGATGCGCTGGCCACTCTCTCTCGCCACATTCTCGGCAAGAACCTGACCTGCACCAACAGCAGTGAGTCCACGAATCTCCTTCTGCATGGCCAAAAAGGTTCCTTCAGCTGGCAAGTCCCTGAGCGTGACGTCAGACACAGCTCCACTGGGCTTCCAAAGCTTGATCTTCTGACCACAAAAATCCATGACGACAAATTCATCGCAGTAGCCATCGTACTGAATTGACTCCACTGAAAACCGATCTCGTTGAACAAGTTCTGGTGATGTCAACATACCCACATGATATGGCTGCGCCATGCAAACGTCAACCATGGGCATGTCACCAACGTCCTCGGTGGCCATCTCAACGTCCACAGGCTCGACTGGGTCCGGAGCCAAAGATGGAGAATAAGAACCATCTCTCACCCCACCTTCCTGCACCGGAAGATCCTCCAGATCACCAAGCGATGGCTTGGCAGTTTCACCTGACACAAACTCAGCTTGTCGCTTGCGACATTCGGCAGAGTGCCGGGTACCTGGAGCATTCAGTGACACCCGGTCGGTGCGCCCGTAAGGTTACTTGGCCAAAATACTTTTGGCCAGCGTACGCAGGTATACGTCGCAACGGAACCAATTGATACGATTGTTGACAAGTTCTTATTCTCGGGTAATACGTACCCGTTTAATTATAACAATCCAACAGTGTTTGACAATTCGCTGCGCTCTCCTTTTTTCTCTCCTTTTTCTTAATTGGTCAAGTGCCCGAGATCCAGTCAAGGAGGATGACTCCGGCTGCTTCCTCCGATCCAATACATAGATCCGAAGCGCCTTCACTCTCATCCCCCCTAGGTGCGGGTGGGTGGGAGCCCTTTCTTTGAAAGGCACCCTCAGAGCCAGCAGTTGCTGACAATACAAACTTAAACCCACAACATGACCCATGATGAAATACCTTCATCGGGTCTCATTAAAACGTGGTGAAGTACATTCACCCCAAGACAGCACAAACCCTATCCCAAATAGTCGGGACAAATTTTGGAAACTTACTTTTCTTACAACAGACAAGTACCCTCGAAGGATGAACTACATTCATCCATCAAAAAAACACGGTAGGCAAATAATCAGGAAATACTTTCCTGCACGGTTGTAAAACAGAAAACAAACAAAGACTTGTTTCCAGTTTGTTGGGTTGTGACGTGCGTGGCAAGACGATGTTACGGGGGGAGATACTTTCCCACTTCATGGAGGATGCTGTCAAGTACATTGACAGCATCCTCAGTCACGGAACGCACCACCCTTGCTGTCCCACTCCGATGGACACGTCCACCCCGCGTGACACCCGGTCGGTGCGCCCGTAAGGTTACTTGGCCAAAATACTTTTGGCCAGCGTACGCAGGTATACGTCGCAACGGAACCAATTGATACGATTGTTGACAAGTTCTTATTCTCGGGTAATACGTACCCGTTTAATTATAACAATCCAACAGTGTTTGACAATTCGCTGCGCTCTCCTTTTTTCTCTCCTTTTTCTTAATTGGTCAAGTGCCCGAGATCCAGTCAAGGAGGATGACTCCGGCTGCTTCCTCCGATCCAATACATAGATCCGAAGCGCCTTCACTCTCATCCCCCCTCAACGACGTCTTCGGGTCACCATCGACCAATCAAGTCCGTCGCTTTGGACTTCTTGTTGGCAGGAAGTGACTTCATCACTCCCGCCTTTCTCTTCCTTCGGAGCTCTTTGATTTCGTCAAAGAGCTCACCTCCCTTTTCTAAAAGCTCCTTGAACTGTTCCTCCAGGAGCTCCTCTGGCTTTATCTCGACCCGTAAATCCATGTTGAATCCACTAAAGTCCTCGTTGGTGAGAGCGTCGGCCTCCCGGTTCTGTAGCCTTGGTAACCAGTCCAACCTCAATTCCAAGTCTTTGCAGTGAAGCGTCCAGGCCAACTGCATCAAGATGATGCACAATGGGAACTTCGTCGTCAAGAGGCGGGAGACCAAGTGTCGGTTCCCCAGGTTGTCTGTGCCGGCCGAAAGGCAAAAGCTCCGGGCGCTGCCCTGGGCTGGCGGGAAAGCCTTGAGGGATGCCAGGGTTCCCAACAGCTCCAGTGACGCTATAGCTCTGTACGGTTCTCCGGCTTCAAAGACCCACGGGGCGTTGTTCCTATCCAACCTCACGGAGAACCACCGGCATCGTCCCCTGTCGTGGGAGTCGCCACAGCACCAACCCCCAATGACTACGGTCTCCCCCTCGGCCTTCGCATCAGACCTGAAGATGTGATCTCCTTCCACCTCCGGTGAGACTCTCACCTTGGTGCGGGCTATCTCGGGTACCATCGTCGCTTTGAGAAAGGTCAAGATCAAGATGATCGCTGCGGGGACCTGGAGCGTTCGACAGTGGTCTACCGCCGTGACCCAGGAGTAGAGCGGGCCCAACAACGGCTTCAAATGCGTGAAAGCCGACATCATGAAGGCCAATCGGCCCAGGGCTGACCTGAACTCCTCCACTTGCACGACTTTGTTTGCCACTGTCCGCTCCATCCAATCTCGTGCCCACCTCAGTCTCTTCTCCGTCATCCCTAGCTCGCACTCTTTCACATCGACCTGAAAGCCAATCCACTCGGCACGAGTCCCCCCCTGGAACTTGTGCCACGAGAAGGGGGTCCCTACGACCATCAAGAACAGCAATGCTATCCAGATTGCGGCCAGCCCTCCAAGGCCGTTGGCCATGAACAGAAGGTCATCCACGTAGGTCAGCTGGCAGCTGTCCCGCCTGGCCAACAGGGAGTGGGCGCACCTTGTGATTGCCGCGAAGAGCCGGGTGAAGTGGTAGCTCGCCGACGTCACACCGAAGGTGCCAACGGTGTTGAGCCACACCTTTTCACTGTTCCCCCCACCATCATCCACCCCGGTGCGACACGCCTGGTATCCCCAGTCCTCCTCTCGCACCAACACAAGTCGGTGGGCTCGGGCAATATCTGCTGCCAGGATGAAGGTCGGGGGGAATAGAGCCCTCATCGCCATCTTGATCTCTGCGGGCCCCGGGTATCTCAGCTGGTCCTCCACTTTGATCTGGGAGTTGACACCGACATTGTGAGTCGCGTCGTGCACCACCCGAAAGCTGTGGTCCGATTTCTCCAGGGCTGCCAGAGCAGCCACCCTCAACCTATCACCATACCTCTTTCTCGCGGCCCCCTCGTCCATCTCCACCATGGCTCCTAGGGCCTCCTCCTTACGGAACTGTCTCTGCACCGCCTCTGCGTTGTCCACCGCTGAGGTGTAGTTGCTCTTGTCCGCAGGCCAGGGGACAGGCTCGTATTTGCGCCACTTTTCCTTTGCTTCGAAGACTTCGGGGACACGTGGCATACCTTGCACCCCCAGTGGGACACCTGTCCTGAAACTGCCTGGTCCCGTGCCGAAGGCCGACCAGTCCGGGTCCCCAATGATCTTGAAGTGTTCTGCGATGGCCGCTAACATGAATGGTTGCCGGGGCTCCACGTGCTCCAGCTTCGCTCTTTCAACCCCGGATCTCCGGGATAAGTGCCCGAGCCATAGGTTCCTTGCCGCCTCCACGACACCTTTTCGGAAGGGCGGGCCCTCACATCTTCCCAAGGCCAGCCTATACAGATCGTTCCTCAAGTCTTCCTCGGTCGTCAAGGCCAGTAGCTCTTCCCCCAAGCTGCTCATAACAGATACATCCCGGAAGGCCGGTCTTCTATTCCCCTGGGAGCACAGACCTGCCCCGTCATGAAAGAGCTTCTGTCCTGGCCCCCTCATGGGGTACGAAGCAACTCCTCTCTCCTTCTCCACCGTCTTGGCCAGCTCCAATGCTGGGTCTTCCTCTGTTGCCATCCGCGTTTTGCATGAATCCACCTCGTCCACTTTGCCAACCCTCGCGCACCCATGTTGCTGTTGATCCCCGTGTTGCTGTTGATCCTCTCCCCCTCCGACAGGCGTCGTGGGTTGGCTTTGGTGCCAATGGTTGAACAGCAATGATGCGATCATCAGGTTCATCTCTGGGGGGTAGGCCGCTGTAGGCCCTGTCTTGAAGCCCCCTCCGGACTCTGCTCCGATCAGAGGTTGGTGTGAATGCCCGCAGGTGCGGGGTAAGGGGCCCAAGTAGTATAAGTCCTTGTTAAAAATGGGCCAGCCGCCAAATCCCAGCTGCAGAAGCCCCTTAGCGTCGCTCAGAAATCTTGTTGGCTTGGGGTAGTCAGCTCCGTAGGTGCATTGGTGGAAGGCAATGGTGTCCATGCCTCTTTTCTTTGCTACCTTGCGCAGGGCTTCAAGTTGCCACACACTTGCTGGCGTCCCGTTGCGTGCTCGGCCTAAATCTTCTGGGTGCTCCCAGAGGCATACTGTCTTGTCCGGCGCCAGCTCCAAAGCCTCGATGCACCTCATGACTAATGTCGTGCCGAGGTCAGCCTTCTCTTTCAGTTCTGCCTTCAACCATGGGAAGCCAAACGGGAATTCCCTTGATCTAACTGGCTTGGGCCCCAGTCTGTTTGCCCAAACCGCTCTGGACCATGTGGAGCACGGGGGTGACATGATGATGATGTCAAACTCCCCATTCTTTATCCTGGTGGCCAGGTCTTGCCACCTATCATCATCAGACATGTCATGTCTGTCCGAGATTTGGAGATCTATCTCCGTCATCTCTAAACGGACCCCTTTAGAGTCACACAGTTTCTGGAGGCAGCTGCGCACGTCACTTTTGCGAGGTGCGCCCGAAAACATGTAAAGGACTTTGACGCACTTCTCCGGCGCCTGTGAAACCGGTGAAACTTCCTCTGACTTCTTTCAGCTGCTGCCCCCTCCTGCTGGGGCACTGGCCTTGGCCGTGTCGCCCCTGACTGTGTTGCACGCCGACTTGGGGTGGTTTCCCAGGCAGCGCTGGCACTGGTGCACGAAGTTGCAGTTCTTGGCCACGCACTTGTTGTTATTGTTATACTTGAAACATAACGGTCTTCCATCAGGTGTCTTCACCTGTAGTTTCTTGACCGGTTTTGGGCCACGTCCAGCTCCCTTGGAGCCTTTGCTTGGGCTCTGTGCCCCTCCCTGACCCGGCTTTGCTGGTGTTCCCCCCTGGCGGCCACCACTACCACTGCTGTAGCTTGCCGCGATGCTTGTGGTCAGCGGCACCACAAAGTGGAGGTTCATCGTCTCCGGGTCGCTGATGGCCCTCCTCATTGCATCCTCCAACGTGGGCTCTTCACCTCGTCGTAGCAGTTGGTAGGCACGTTTTCGAACCTCTTGCTCGTACCCGAGCACTAACTCCCATCGGGGTTTTTGTTCATGTGGTAGTTGTAATCCATGCACATGCTTCCCAAGCACGTGATCGCTCAAGTGGCGATAGGCCTCCACCAGCCCTCCTTGCAGCCAAACACGGTTCCTGTGTTTTGTCCTGGCCATTTCCCAGGCTAGGCCTATACGGCGGTGCCTCAAGCGGAGCTCTTCTGCCGTCTTCGGCATAGTCACTGTGTTGCGTGCCGCCTTCATCTTGAAGGTTCCTGTGGCGGCATCCAGGCTTCCCTGGAGCAAGTCTGCCTCTCCATCCTCCACTGAGGCCACATCTCTGAGGTCCTCCAACTTCGGCAGGTTGGTTTCGATGTCGTCCAACTTCGCCGCGATGAGGCTCTTGGCGGGAACCTCATAGTCCCTCAAACGCCCGATTTGGTTCTCAAGGGCTTCTCTGAGCATCGCGTGCTCACTGACCGGGACCGGCCTTGGCACCATTGCTGCCCGGGCCTCCGCCCTAGTCTCATCGCTGGACTTCTGCTGCGTCCTCGATGTCTCCCATGCGCTAAGCACCAAAGCGGTGCTGCGCCTCTCTGCATTCCCTGCTGTGTGGTCCAGTCCGATTTCGGCGTTGAGCGCCGTACGGACTTCCGCCCTGGTTTCATCGATCCCAGAAAACAGCCGCACGGAGGTGTACCTTCTGTGGTACGGCTGCTTGTACCTCTTCCGGGACCCCCACCTCTGACAGCAGGTACTTCAAGTCTGAGTCTGCGGCTTCCAACGCCGCTTCCGACTGCGCGTCTGTGAGCGCAAGCAACGGCATGGCTCAAGACTCTACTAGGTGTTGGAAAGTCCTACACCCTTGTGCACCCCTGACCTGACCAGCAAGACATGCCGATAGGTGCCTTCACGCGTCGAAACATTACATATCATGTGATATGTAAGCTTTCATGATTTATCTTGCTTCTGTCAACGTGTCGCTTGACCCTACAGGTCTGCTGCGGCACAGATGCATTGTGCACTAACACGATCATGACAGAATGCAAACGACACCTCTCGGCGCCTAACCCCCTCCCAAGCAAGTACTTTGCTCGGGTTCCGGGTGTTCCCGAGCTTACAATCGCTCGGGCCGGGCTCGCTTAGGTCAGTGCATGACCCTCCCCGGCACTATGTCCGGCGCTCCCCTGGGTTCCCTGGGACTTCACTTGGCCTTGCGCCATCGTCCCTCCCCAACGGGTTCCCTGCGCGGACAACCGCAGCCCCAACTCCCTGTGGTGCTTTCCATCGCCCCTATTTTCTCAGTCCACGTTGCTCGAGCTGGACGTCGTCGAGCTGTCTTCTGCTTCTGCAGGGTCTTTGCCCTTCCAGCAGTGTCCACAAATGGAGTTGAACTTGACTCCCTTCAGGCTGTCATGGGGCTCATAAGCCGCAAAGTTCTGACCAGGCTTGGTCCCACATTTGCCCCAAATGTGGAGCTTCCGGTGGCGGTTGCGGACATTGATGGCCACGAAGAATTTTCCCTGGACGTCTACGTCGTCCTCTTCACTTCCAACGTCCTCGGCTCCAGCTCTTTCATCCATCAATTCTTTGATGGTCGGCACCTCCGCTGGAGGGTCCGGCAGTCGCTTCACCACCTCTTCGGCCTCGGCCCCTGGGGACTTCTCCACCGCTGGACGTTCAGGGTCGTCCAAATCTACCGGTGTCCAAATCTCCGGCATCTCCAGTTTCCACATTTGTCTCCTGATGGACTCCTCGTCATACTTCACCGCGACGACGTGGTCCTTCACCTCCTCGAGGCCCGAGTTCTTCAAGTCCCACTCCGTATCACTCCGGAGTTTGTCCAGGAGACTACATTGGCCACGATCCTTTGAGCGGACCTGACATACTCGTCTCCGCTTTCTTTGACTGCCCACCTCCCAAGCATCTGTCTCTCCTCTCTTGGGATGCCTGCGGAGGCTGCCATGGACACTATCCAATTGCGCTCCGAATGCTCCGTCCAGAGTTTGTAGAGCTCCGGCAGCAGCAATGGGCCCCTGCCGGACACCCATCTCCCATCTTCATAAAAGCACTCCTTCAAACGGGAGTATACCACCCTGGTCATCACCACGAAGTCGTCGTACGTGGCTGGCCTCTTCTCCTCGAGGTCCTCCAATCCACAAGGGAAAACCGGCACCAGGTAGTCCCTCGGGTACCAGTACCGTTCCTCCAGGATAGCCATCCCGGTCTCCAGCCACGGCAAGCCTGTGATGCTCACCCTCCGGCTGATCATGAAGGGAAGAATCTTGTTCTTCTTCCCAGGCCCCGAGACCTTCGTCTTCCAGAAGATGCCGTGCAACCCTGCCTTGGTGAACTTCATGGCCTTCAGTGAAATCCCCTGGAGGTCGTCTGTCCTGCTGGCCGTCCATATCTTGACCAGCTTGCACCATGCAGAGAACCGCACGAAGGTTCCGTTGCTCGGGCTCACGACCAGCATCTCCATGGCTGCTATCACCTTCAATGGCAGCAATGGCGCTTGCTTCTTCTCCGGCCTCTTTTGCTCCATCTCCTTGTTGGTCATGTCCAACGCCCTCTTGAAGGCCACATCTGAAGAAATGGCTGCTCCTGGTCCGATACCAGCGGCCCTCTCAAAGAATGCCAGTGTCGTCCCAAAGGACTGCGGCACCGTAGGGGGGGCCTCAGTCAGCCTCAGCTCCACCAGGTAGTCTATCGCATGCGCCCTGCGGGAAGGCCACCTCACCTGGTGGACGATCTCCAGCCACGTCAGGAACTTCTTCCACTCCCTGAGTCTCTTCCTCAAGGTGGACGCTCGGTACGCCCCCACTGTGGCCTTGAGGAACTCACGGGGATCTTTTGAGTCCTCAGCCCCCCGCACTATTGGGAGGTCGGCATTCTCCTCCAGCACATCTACCACCTTTCCTGCTTCCACCTCCCATTGGCGCTGTTCCCGACGCTTCACAGTCTCGACCGTCTCTGTATCGAGCTCAGCATCTGTCGATCTCCTCCGACTTCTCAACAGAATTGCTCCTGAGTGTTTTTCCAGCCAAGTCTTGGTCGGCACCTCTCCTTCCTTGAGTTCACCTGCAATTCTCTGTCTGTGCGCCTTGGCCTTGGCCGCCATGTCGACTGCCATCTGCGCACCCCGCTTTGCAATTCTGTTCCTCCTCAGCCGCGCTACCTTTTCCTCAGCGGCCAACTGCAAGGCCTCCAGCACCGTGGCCTTTTCGACCAACTCATGATCCGGGCAACCATATTGCCTCATAATGTCCATCCTCTCCTGGTCTGTGTCCGCCACGTACGCAAGGAGATCAGCAGAGACCTCACCGTTCATGGTCACTAACTCCTTGACCCCCGGTGGTAAGACACCCCAATAGGCCTCAAGCTCCTCCGGGGTCACGTTCTCCACCGCCCTTTGAAGTCCCAAGTTGGCGGCATCCAACCTCTCTTGGACTTCCATCTCAGTCCTCTCCACCGCTGGCTCCGCATGTTCTGGGCCGTCCTCAAAGCCCAAGCCGACTTCTTCCCAGCCATCGGCGTCATTCCCATCGAGCCCCGGGCTGGCATCAGACGCCGTAGCTCGCGCCTGCCACCTCGCCCGGAAGCCCCTCAAGGGCTCATCTGGCTCCATCGCGTCACACGATGCCCAAATACGTTGGGCGTACTCCCTAAAGCCCTTTCTTTGAAAGGCACCCTCAGAGCCAGCAGTTGCTGACAATACAAACTTAAACCCACAACATGACCCATGATGAAATACCTTCATCGGGTCTCATTAAAACGTGGTGAAGTACATTCACCCCAAGACAGCACAAACCCTATCCCAAATAGTCGGGACAAATTTTGGAAACTTACTTTTCTTACAACAGACAAGTACCCTCGAAGGATGAACTACATTCATCCATCAAAAAAACACGGTAGGCAAATAATCAGGAAATACTTTCCTGCACGGTTGTAAAACAGAAAACAAACAAAGACTTGTTTCCAGTTTGTTGGGTTGTGACGTGCGTGGCAAGACGATGTTACGGGGGGAGATACTTTCCCACTTCATGGAGGATGCTGTCAAGTACATTGACAGCATCCTCAGTCACGGAACGCACCACCCTTGCTGTCCCACTCCGATGGACACGTCCACCCCGCTACCTGATTCACAACTTGGACAACGGCGCGTCGGGGTCATCCCAGCAGGCAAACCTGGGATGCGCGGCAATGGTCGTGAAGGCACGGCCACAGCCGGGTCATTGGGCTCAACTATTGGTGGTTGCTCCTCAGGCTTGTCGGGCAAAGCTGGCACTTTTATTCCCTTGACAAAACCACTCAAGTGTGAACCAAGGAACACAGAACCTGAAGCTGGCAATGTCAAAAGACATATAATCTGACTCCACTAAGACAAGTCTTAACTAAACCTTCATATCTAAGTAAATGTATATATTTATTCCATTCATATAGTATACATCATACGCAAACGTCGGATCTCGCGTCAATTCAAACAACATGTTAATTTAACATGTGTAATTTCCAAAACATCAAGTGCAAAACCGACATGTGTAAATCCGAATCACTGCAACTGAAATGAATGACTGCCGCTCTCTCTCTTTTCTGCATGGGGGTCCATTCAAGCTCCAACCGGAATGATGGGATGCCAAGTTCGAGCACCCGCCATCACAGGCTGAGGGTTAGGCAAATCAGATGTGAAGTCTTCGTAAGAAAATGTCAAAAAGACGATATTCAAGTCCAGCAATGGCTCGATCACACATACGAAGAAATCGTTGAATTTCGGCATGAATCTGGTCCAAGAAGACCACGATGAAATGCCCGGTGAATCCCATGTCTTGCAACAGGTCCACTGTCTCTTCGATGTGGCACTGTAGCTGTAAGACTGTCATACGGACTTTCATGAAGAAAAGCAATTGGTTGATCAAGATTTGCAATCTCAGAACACTGGTGTGCCTTCTGGCACGTAACATGGAAAGCAGATATGAAGGTTCGAAAAGGGTGGTTGTGGGAGGGTAGAACGCTTGAACCGCAGGGCTGACATGAACAAAGACATAAAACTTCCCCAGAGAAGTACAGATCAGAGTTTCAGATTTCTCAGTGGTTTACGTTTCAACCAGTTTAAACAAAACCTTGACACCTGAGAAAAGGGTATACGAAAACCACCAACTCTGGAAAGGACAGCAGTTGTGGGATTCGAGTTTCGATTTGAAACGATTTAGTTTTGGTTCACACTTGTTGGGTTTCTTTTGCCACACAAAAGACAAAAAGGCAAAAGATTTTGTTGCAGGGAATAATGTTATCATCCTTTCAGGAGCGCTAACTTATTCCCTTGACAAAACCACTCAAGCGTGAACCAAGGAACACAGAACCTGAAGCTGGCAATGTCAAAAGACATATAATCTGACTCCACTAAGACAAGTCTTAACTAAACCTTCATATCTAAGTAAATGTATATATTTATTCCATTCATATAGTATACATCATACGCAAACGTCGGATCTCGCGTCAATTCAAACAACATGTTAATTTAACATGTGTAATTTCCAAAACATCAAGTGCAAAACCGACATGTGTAAATCCGAATCACTGCAACTGAAATGAATGACTGCCGCTCTCTCTCTCTCTCTTTTCTGCATGGGGGTCCATTCAAGCTCCAACCGGAATGATGGGATGCCAAGTTCGAGCACCCGCCATCACCCCCATCTGAGCCTGTGCTCGACTGATTCCAGTGAGCATATGACCACGTCCCATGCACACTGGCTGTGGCCAGCCCCACAAGCTTTCATGTCTTCAACATGTCCACGACTGGGGCCGTCAGCTATGTTGGAGTGGCTACAAACCCTTCCGAACCACACCTTCCATTGATGCTGGTCTTCTTCCTGCACGAAGAGCTGGATCACAACATTTCCAAGAGGAGTGGAGGAATAGGCCTTCACCAAGGCCATGCGAGAAGCTTCGTTGTCAATGTACATCACAATGTACCTACCAAACGCCTGGCCACCCCAAAGAAAGGCGGCAACATGTACTGCCAACAGTTCCACCAAGTAAATAGGGTTCTCCGCCTCTTTCAAGAAACGTTTCATCAACAGGCTAGGCACCTGCTCACTGAAATAGTTGAGCACCGTGCCGTCATGATCCAAAAGAACTCCACCAATTGACCCAGCGCCTGTCTCTTCATCAAAGGCTCCGTCAGTGAAGATCAGAATTGACCGCTCCGTGATGGCAGTCAGCTGGAGAGGAGCTCCATGTTCAACTCTATGTCGCAGGAATTCCAAGGAGGTTTGAAGTTCTGCATCGAGTTTGTAACTGTGCCTTCCCCCTTTCATAAGGGCTCGCTTCCCCAGACGGTGAATAGCAAGGTTTGCCGTTCGGCCAAACAGAAAACTTTCGAACCATTGCACTCTGCCCTTGAAAGACTCAGCGTCCTTTGGAGATAACTCGTTGGCTTTCAGGATCGATCGTATCTTTTCTGACAGCTCCAACCTACGTTCAGGTGTGTGCTTAATGAAGACCACACCTTCGTCGAACTTGGTCAGGTCAAAGATTAGGCCCAGCGCTCTCATCTCATTGCTGAAGGTTTGGTTTTTCTTGCCTTCCTTTGCATACTGCACTCCAAGAAGGTCAAACAAGAAACCAACGCACTTGTCAGTTGGCGCAGCGGTCTCTTCAGCTGCCATTGTTGGGAAGTCGTCGAAGAACGCGCTGCACCATACTTTCAAGCCCACACTCAAAATGTAGAAAAGGGCCGAGCTGACCCTGAGGAAGCCAGCTACGCTCCCCGTAGCTCCGAAGGGGAGACTGTTCAAACCATAGAGCTTTGCCTGGCCCGTGTTTGGATCACAAATGGCGATCCTGAGGTGCTGTCTGTCGGTGGGGTGGATGGGATATTGTTTGTATGCGGCTTTAAGATCAAAGGTTTTTCCTTTCAAGGAGACAGTGTTTGACTTCCGATGCAGCACCAACGCTCTTATCAAGGAGGCAGCAATAAAATCCACCCCATGCAAAGTGAACTTCTCGGGAAGTCCGCACGCATCGTTCAACCCACACTGCTTGAAGTTGTCAATGACCCTCACCTTTTCGTTTTGCCTTAAACCAAATCGGTGCGCTATGATTTTGCTCTGAAGGTCACCGGACGTGTCCTCCCAGATCCACTTCCTCTCGCATTCAGCTTGAGTTTCCTCCCAAGCAGCAAGGTGTAACTCTGCGTCCTCGGGTTCTCGGACACGTTTGAGCACTGCTTTCTGCAAACCAAGAGAGGACTTGAGAAGGGCTTCCAATGTAAGTTTAGGAGGACGGGGCAAACTCATGAACACCTGCGAGTCTCTCATCCAACCCGACAGTCTAAATCCTGCTATGATATCGTCAAAGAGCTTTTTATCTGGGAACTGCAAGTCCTCCAGTATCTCCCTGAAAACCAATAATCGTTTCCCTTGTAAAACGTGTTTGACATGTTCTCCCAGCTCAGCTCTGAGGTTTCGTTCATCATTTTCTAACTCTTTTGCCCTGGTCACCCATTTTTTGAAGAAGGCAAGCCTCATGCCATTCAACTCGCAAGCTTGGTGGTTCAGGTTTGTCCACAACAGGTCATCAAGTTGTTCAGAACCGGCGTATGGCAGGAATCTCGGGTGTCCAACCTGTGCCGCTTTTCTGACAAAGTCCCAAGGCTCTCTTGGGATTCCAAAGGTCACGAGTTCCACCTTTGTCTCTTCGCTAACCTTCAACCCTTCCAGGTACGTCAGAGATTCACCTGTCAGCTCGGATACCCGTTTGTCACCCCCAGTAAGAAGTTTCCGGTCCGTAATTCGAGAACCCTTAGTGAGCCGTGGCAAGATGCGACTTGCATCCATATCGGGCCTGACAACAAATTGCACATAGTGGCCGAACTCACTGACCAGGGGTTTGAGCTTTTGACCTCTTGGGAGTATTCCCATAGCTATAGAATTGATGGCTGTTGTGCGTCGTTGGGCAATCTGTTGTGTGATTGTATGCGGCTGTTCGATCCCTCGGGCTTGTAAGTCAGCGATCAAGAGTGCAGCTACCCTTTGGCATAGGAGCTTTGGATACTCAGCTTCGTCCTTCGTCGGATAGTGAACACCATCCGTTGTCAAAGTTGGTGTCCATGGCTTGTGAGGGTGATCTCCCGAGCACGGTAAATTAAATGAAGAGAAAAATTCATCATTGCACCACCAAGTTGTTTGTTTCTGTCTCTCACCGCCCATCATGCAATTGTGAAAAACATTGCAATGTCCTGGATGCACGTGCAATAGTTCCTGAATAGGTTCCGTCTTCCAAAAGAGGCTATTCGTTGGATTTTCCATTGACACACGTATCCCCAGGGAGATTGCCAACAGGGCTAAGTCCCTTGTTGCAAAGTACAGTTTATTGGCCTGCTTCACCTTGTGTAAATCTAAACCTGCAATGCCCGGGAGCCCCATTGGAAATTGCTCCGAGCGCAGCTGCTGTGGCGGTGTGATCCCAGCATCTTTCAATTTCGCCTGCACCTCTGAAGGCAATTTCCTTTTCCTTGCAGCTGAACAGGTTCCACACGGTGGTGCAAAGTGAATCAGGCAGAGGTTGTGAGCTTCTTGCCTGATGAAATCCATTAAAAACTGCAAGTCCTCCGATTTTGTGAGGTCCAAAATTGTGATAGGCCCTTTTGCTCTCTCCATACCTTTGTCGACAGCTACACCACGCAAGTTCGTTTTACGAACTTCTATGGTTAGAGAAGAAGTTCCAGCAAATACCTCCAAGAAAAGAATGTTTTCAAACAGAACCTTTCGAATATCGGTGCATTGTGGCTCCTCTGTGAAACATCTTTCAGCGCCCAGTTGTTCTGAATCGCTTGATGTGGTGATACTGTTTTCCAACTTGACACCTTCAGGCATGCTAGGAATCTCCTGCGACAAATTGTCTTGTGATACTGTATTGGATTGAGCCGGGCCTTCCTGTCAGTGTGGGGACTGCTTCCCCGGGGCTGCTTTGCACTGCTGAAATGAATGACCTATCTTGCGACAAAATGCGCAAATATGAACTCCTCTCTTGCACTTTGGTGGCTGCCCAGACGCCTCTAGGGAGCATCCATTCTGCAAATTGTACGACCAGCAAATCGGCTTGTCGTCTAATGTATGTTGATAGCAGCCCTTTAGCTCATCAGGAGGCACTGGGGCTTCTCTGGTCTTTTTGTCAGGTCTGGCCTTCTTCTGTGGCTGCACTGTGGATGGTGCTTGGTTTGGTGCCTCAGTTGATCGACTAGGCACTGTGGACGCTGGTCCTTTGGTCGGGAGGGACAGCATGAACATGGTGATGCGCGGATCCTGCATTAGCTTCAGAATTGCCTCGTCCAGTGGCCGCTTCCCAGTGTTGTCTGGCTTGACAGAAGACAACTCCCTAGCCAGTATTGTCCACATTGCTTTGTCGGCTGACACCAATTGCTGTAAGCTGACTTTTCCAAATCCTGGCGGTGGATCTGCTGAGTACGCTGCAAACATCGTAGCCAGCCACCTTTGGGAAGTATCCCAAGACACCATATCGCACATCTCAAATGCTACTCCTCTGCGTTGGAAGCACCACTGTAATTTGATCTCTGAACCATGGTCTGCATCATCCAGCTTGAGCTCATCTGTTCCAACCTTGAGCGTCTGTGACTCGATACGTAGGATCTGTTGTGAATCCTTTGGTGTAGTTTGTACTTCTGCGTCCCTCTTCGTGCACATTGATGGTGAGATCCAAACGATTGCACCAGTGTCAAAAATGCTTTGGCATCTGTCCAGCAAAACATGTGATGGTTCCGTTTCGCCATGAGTCAAAAAGCCAGGGATCTTCGTGCGCACTTTCTCATAGCGAGCTTGCTTCTCTGCAAACGGCAGCTTCTTGGCGCCATCTAAGGCATCACTGGTCACAGCTGATTTGAGCTGCGAAAGGACCAAGGTGGCAGCTTCGAAGTGAATTCTTCTCAACAAGCTCTGTTGTCCAGCTGTGAACCCAACGCCCAAAACCTGCGTTGAAAAATTCCTGAACTCTTCTTCTGTAGGCGCTTTGTTAGGTGCCCCACATGAAAACGCCAGCTCTGAGAAACATGATATGTTCTGTGCCGTCAGCAGCGCATGTAGATCCAAAGTGGTTGGAGACAGCTCTGCACAACGTTGCTTGAATGCCGCTTCTGAGTCAACCAGCGTCATGGTTGCGTTGCCCTACTAATTTAACAAAATCTTGAGTTCATGATTCTGTCAACGAAACAAATTCCAAAGAGACTTTTCATGTCAAACACAACCACAACATTCTGAAGCTTGATACCCCCTGCCTCTGTGATATCCATGTCATGCTTTAATTACACTGTCTTGAAATTTTGACCGAGCTATGAGCCAAAGACCCACGTGTGAAATTTTCAAACCGCAGCCATCGATGGCCCGGGCTCCACTGGATCCTCAGCTCACCAATGTTGGATTACCACACATTGTCGGCCTGAAACTGAAGTGAATCTTGTCATTGATATCTCGAAATTGATTAACTGCTGCCCCTTTCCGTCACCACTGCCAAATTGGATAACCACATTTGACATGGAAAAGAAAGGTTTTTGGATGGGTGTAAGGTATGGATTCCTCTTCACCCCCACTTGCTGCAACCACCCTAACAACGTTGGAGCAACACTTGACCGGTTGGAAAGTTTTCAGAACCACCCCGGCCAACAAAACTTAAAATGGTTAATACTGAACATTTCAGGTCACGTCAAATTAGCCTGGAAATGGCACCTCTCTTTTGACGCAACCTCTTGGCTGAGTTCAGGGTTTGTCCCAAGCCATCTTATGCCTTTGGCACGTGTGGCAGTCTACCTAGTCACACCTGAGTTGCAAGGACTCTGCAAAATTCTGATCTAGCACTTGACCGCAACAAATTTCATGTGGATACTGGCATGAAAAACGTGGAGTGTTCTTCTGAGGGCCATGACATCTGCTGCGGGCATCAGGGTCTCCATGTCAGATTGTTCACTTGCGGTGAAATCCAACATCCAATCTGATGCAGTTTTCTGGTTATAAACTACTCCACTGAACGCCCTGTTTCAAGCCTCACTTCGCCCATGTGTGAAAATGATTGCCAAACATTTGCAACTGTCAACTGAGTATGAGGTTCAACTTTTTTGAAACATCTCCTCCAGTGGCCCTCATCCAGCGCTTGTTGGCCGTGATCATGTAGAGGTTTTTCGATATCAAATAGGAACCTCCAGTGACTCCCAGGCAGCGCTTGCTGACCGTGATCGGGTGAAGGTCCTCGATGTCGAAGGAGTACCTGCAAAAGGTGATGGCTCCCAGGATTGACTTCAAACGGCTAGTGCTGTTACCAGATGAATGCAACGTCATAATGATCCTGTACATGTCGGACTCATCAACAGGCCAGAAAAATACCAACTGTTGCAAAGTGGTGCATAAAAAGACCATGCTGTTTGCTCGTTTCACAAGGGTCGATGGCGCTTTCCTTGATAAATAGTCTCCATGCCGGTTCATTGAATCATTATTGAATCATTCACCATAGAGCATGCTAACAGCTCACGCTTGCATCGCCACGCATCTGGCCAGTTCCTGACGATTGTATCCCATTTCACAAGTGCCCTTTGCAACTCAGCTTCCCGCTTCTTCGTCCAAACCTGGTCCTTCCTTCTGGACACTGCACTGGTGAACAACGGTTGTGAAAGGCATAACTAGAATCATCCACTGCCGCATTCAATTCACAAGCAGGCCCATCATGAATCAACTTCGGAACTTTGAGCTTTGGCTCAAACTGAGGTACCAACGTCTCCAAAGGATCATGTTTAGGGTCAAAAATTCAGGCCCATTCATCTGACTCACACGGCAGTTGTACGGGAGTTTCAGAAAAATTCTGAATGACATGTGCAAGCAAGTTCTCAAAATAAAAGGTACTGGATCGTCCAACCACTGGTGGCAGCGCAACTGTATTCAATTTAGGTCCAGGCTGTCGAGGCACCGGCCAAGGATTTGAGTCCAAATCAAAACCAGTCCCTCCAAGATGCTCATCAATAGTTGCTTCAACTTGTAAATCATCCTCTGAACCCACAAAACAGCGTTATGACCAGAATCATCCAAATTTGAAGGATCCCCATCCGCATCACAACATTGCACCACCCCCCAGCTAGAACGCTTGAACCGCAGGGCTGACATGAACAAAGACATAAAACTTCCCCAGAGAAGTACAGATCAGAGTTTCAGATTTCTCAGTGGTTTACGTTTCAACCAGTTTAAACAAAACCTTGACACCTGAGAAAAGGGTATACGAAAACCACCAACTCTGGAAAGGACAGCAGTTGTGGGATTCGAGTTTCGATTTGAAACGATTTAGTTTTGGTTCACACTTGTTGGGTTTCTTTTGCCACACAAAAGACAAAAAGGCAAAAGATTTTGTTGCAGGGAATAATGTTATCTTATTTCCTTTCACATAAAAACCACCAAAGTACACAGCAACGCCATAAAAGGAGTAAAGACAAACAGCACACTACCCATCGTAGGTAGTTCGCAAACGTGCCATAAAACGGAAGTTCGAAACGCATTCGTAACGAAAACGCCGTATTCAAAAAAATCACATGCAAAACCGTAAAACACAAAGCACTCAGAAAACGACACATCAAAACAATGACATCAAACGCACAAAGGTCAATTCTTTTTTCTCAGCAGAGTTGGAGCTTTTCGGCCATCCTCGTTCGGAGGGATGGAGTAAGGGTGAGAAGGAAACCTGCATTCAGGTAGAAAGAACCCATGACATTTCATGGGGAAACATAAGAAAAAGAGGGTATGGGAGGGCGGGCAAATTTCAAACATGGCGTCGTAAAAAACGCGAAACCCACCTACCCACCTCTTGAACAAAATACTGTGGGAGAAAACATACGTCATTTGCATGAGACATGAGGAAAATGACGACATGACAAGAACTACAAAAACAACAAACAGTGGCGTTGCAGCAGATTTGTAAAACCAAATACAGAGTTGGTTAAGACAAAAAACTTTGGTGGTTGATAAAAGCTTAGCCTGCATTCAGGCACGCACATTTTTAGATTCAGGAAATAAAGAGTTATCACCACGTTGGGTGAAAAGACTCTTATTTCCTTTCACATAAAAACCACCAAAGTACACAGCAACGCCTTATTTACTCAGGTTCACTTCTTCACTCTTACTGACTCGCGCCGCCCTACACATTAACCAGTCAAACACCAACGTGTCAACCAGTAACAAAACAAAAATTTTATATATATATATAAACTCAATTATATATATATATCTTAAAAAAATTGCACATGCAGAAACTGAAATCAGTGCAAAACGACATGTCGCCAAACCGTGAATTGAAGCAGCACAACTGAAAAAAAATGCTCTCACTTTTTCTTCCAAAAATTGGGGAGTCGGAGCGCTTCGCTTTTGCGTGGCGACACTTTTGCCTCTCACGCCCGGAGGAGGGTCGGGCGGGTGGGTCAACACCTACGGGTCGTGAGAGTATTTCCCACCCACCCACCCTTGAATGGAGAAAAACGGAGAAACAAATAATCAGAAACATGTAAACTCAGAAAAGCCACACAAGGCCAGACAACACACAAGTCAGAGTCACTGTTTCAGATTTGTTTGTTTGTTTCCGTTGTTCTTTTTTTTTTAACCCTTGTAGCGCTGCCACACAAAGGTAAAGAGTGCCACACCTGGCCACACGCGTACGCGAGCGCGAGGGGAGGACGCGATAGGAGGGAGTGAAGAAGGAGGTGGCTCACCACCAATGAACCGCGTAAATAAAGGCTCATCACTAAAGTGAGGCGCAACTTATTTACTCAGGTTCACTTCTTCACTCTTACTGACTCGCGCCGCCCTACGCATTAACCAGTCAAACACCAACGTGTCAACCAGTAACAAAACAAAAATTATATATATATAAACTCAATTATATATATATATATCTTAAAAAAATTGCACATGCAGAAACTGAAATCAGTGCAAAACGACATGTCGCCAAACCGTGAATTGAAGCAGCACAACTGGAAAAAATGCTCTCACTTTTTCTTCCAAAAATTGGGGAGTCGGAGCGCTTCGCTTTTGCGTGGCGACACTTTTGCCTCTCACGCCTTCCTCCCCACTTTTACTTGACTGTGAGAGTTTCGTAATTTGGCTGACATCTTTGGAAACCTTTGGCTGCAAGTTCACTGGAGTCCATTCTGGAGGGACTGTCACTAAGGTTTGACTTCGACGGCACACGGCTGTACCAGTTCAGGCTCTGAAGCTTAACATCAAGTTCTGCGTTCAGCACAAGCAATTCAAAGTTCTCGACAATCGGAGAAAAGGACCTGATCACAGCTGCCAATGCTGAATTGTTATCCACAAACCAAAGCACCGCACGACAGGAGATAAGCTGCGGCCAAGTCGACTTCGCCACAAGAATTGGAAAAATCTCAGCCTGGCAAATCAGTTGTTTCTTTCCTTGCGATCGCCACCTATCGACCCATTCATGCGGTACACTATCTCCAAACATCAGAGATGCCCCGCACTCGGGATCAAAAAGAGTTGCCCCATGGGTCACAGCTTGTCCATTTTCTTCGCATGCACCATCTGTAAAGATGATCACAGGAGGTCGCCTCAACCAAGCAGATACCGCGCGCGGCTTTGCTGCTGACAAACATGCAAACGCACTTCTGAGAACGCCTCTAAAAGAGTCGTCAACCATAAGCATTGGTCCACGCCTTGCAAGCCTTGACACCATTTGTATGGCTAGCTGTGTGCAACGTCCAAAGGTGTGACCTGCAGCATAAAGCAACCTGCCCTTCAACGTTTCCACCAGGGACATGGGCACAAGGCTCTTGCCACAGACCTCATCAACCAACCTTCCAATGTCTTTGACTCGGCTCTCCTTGTTGCGGACATTCACTACGCCCTGAGCTGTGTGGCTAAGGTCCACGACCGCACCAAGCATGCTAAACTCTGGAGCGAAGGGAAGGCGTTTGTCCTCCGACATAGATATCCTCCAGCCCAAAAGCTTCATCACTAACTCAGCAGTCTGCCACGAGGAATCGCAAAGAGCATCCACTTCCAGTTGACAAAAATCGTCAAAGAAGTTGGTGTTAACCAGCAAGAAGAGTGATGACATGATTATTCGCAAAGCTCGTGCCATACGATTGAATGCCATCACCGCACAAACGGATCCAAATGGCAGTGCTATGGACTCGAAGAACTCTACCTTCTGTAACTCATCGTTCCAGACAGCTAAGATGGACGCCCACGCATCTTTGGGGGCACGAGCAAGTTGTTTGTAGGCTGCTTTCAAGTCCAGTGCTCTTCCCTTAAGGTTACGCCAACGCGGCTGCTCACAGCCATAATTTTGCCCACCTTTCAACCAGGCACCATCTTCGCAGAAATCCAAGCCTTCGCATCCCAGGAAAGTCCTGGCAGTGTTGATGACCTCGTCAATGCCAAAGAGTTGAAGCTTCTCAGTTGAGGACACTGACGCGTTAATAAGAAACTCGCTGAAGTCATCAACTGCTCGGACCTTCTGACCCTGCCTGACTCCGAACCTTTTGGATGGGATCCAGCAACTGTCATACTTGGTGTCCAGCTGATCCTCTGTAAACGGGCCTTTGACCCATCCATCTTCCAGTTGTTGTAAGGTCTCCTGGTAAACAGCATGGGCCACTTCCTTGTCACTTGAAATCCTGCGGCAAGACGAGTGGATCATCTTTCGAGCCCATACTGCTGATTCCTTCAGTTGCTGCACAGAGATCTGTGCAGGCTTCAACTTCGTGGGAAAAGACCCAGACTGGGGCATTGATCCCGTTAAAGAAAAACCAGTCACCAACTCCTCAAACAGGCCTTCATCACCCACTCCTGCCTCGCAAGCCATTTCTTTGAAAAGCAAAAGCCGCTTGTCAGCCAGAACCGTCCTGACATCAGCGTCCAGTGAAGCCTTCAACTCAGCCTCTTGACACGCAAGTTCCTTGGCTCTTTGTGAGAACCTCTTGAGTTGCTTAACTCTAAACCTGGCCACTTCTGCAGCATCATGGTCACGAATGAACCTGATAGCTCTCAAATCGTTCGGGTCAACCAGTTGCGGGCTATCCAACGGGTGCTCCACTTCCAGGGTTCTGAGAAAAAACTCCCAAGGTGACCTGAAGACTCCAAAAACAGACTTTTTGCACATTTTCTTCTCGCCATCACACCCCTGTTCCAAAAAATCTCGAGAAGAAACCAGTTTAGCTTCCACAGGGATGCCTTGAAACGGAAAGTGAACTTCAGGCCCAATGACCGTTGGGACCTCCACACCATCTGAAGTGACCTCAACTTTGAATTTAAACTCTCCTAGAAGCAGCGGGGCACGAGCGCCTCGGGGCTGTACTCCAGCTCCAATCTTTTGCAGTTGGTCCTCAAAATGCTCAGGTTGTTGAGGTGCCTTGCCCTGTAGTTGTAACTGATCCAAAAACGCCAACGCAAGCTGCTTGCAAAGTAGTTGTGGGTATTCAGTTTCAAGGCTCGTTGAGAATTGCCGCCCCTTTCCATCGGCAGTGTCTACCATTCCCCATGGCAAGTGAGTGTGTAGACCATCACACTCTGTCTGTAGATTTCCAGCCGAAAAGTTCATGAGAAAAGCCGTGCTCTTTCTGCGGCTGCTGCCGTACATGCATGCGTGGATGTACTGGAAGTTGCACTGCTCAGGCCGTTCAGAAAAAGGCTCTGTGAGCCACATTAAAGACCTCTTCGGGTTTTCGCAAATCACTGGGATACCCATCAGGATGCAAAGCTTGATAACCTTCATGGAAAACTTGTACAACTTGTTTGCAGTCCTGACCTTGAGCTTCGCCACACCCCGCAGGTGAGGTAGGCCGTCTGGCCACTTGTCAGACCTGAGGGGCACCGGCTGCATGCCCTTCCTCAACCTGCAGTGTTTCGGCAATGGTATTTCCCTTGCCCTGCTCGAAGTGCCGCAAGGGGGCGCTAACATCACTGCATCCACTTTGCCATCCCGTATCCAGGACAAAACGGTGCTCTGCCCATCATGGTGTGCAAGGTCCACCTTTGCAACGGGAGCCTTAACTCTCCTTTTGTCCACCATGTGATCGATGCCCAAAGCGTCACCTCCCAGCGCCTTGAAGGCGGCCGCAACGCCAGCTGTTCCACAAAACAAGTCAAGTAAAAATGGTGATTGCTTCGCATGTGCTTCCACAGGCGCATTGTTGCCATCAATGTTTAGATGGCTCTGAAAAGACTTGTGAGCGGACATTTCCGCTTCTTCCTGAAACCCTTCGGCTGCAGGTTGAACCACTTCCGAGCGCATTCGCTTCGGCTGCGATCCAAAGTCATGGCGCTTTTCGCCAAAAATGGCGGAGCTGTTGCGCTTTCGCAAAAGATCCACACCAGGGCCTTCGCCCTCCTTTTTTTCATGGCACTGCTGCTGCTGACCAGTGCCTAGTCACGACCCCTGCTTGTGGGCTGTGATGTAGGCATGTTTCTTTCCACATCCTTTCTTGCAGCACAGGTGCTTTCCCTTTGCGCAATCTGTGGCACTTGAACAGGTCCCAAGGTTGAATGCAAAGCAATAAGCATTGCCTTCGTCGTCACAGGGTGTGCAACCTGCGAGCTGCTTCGGCATGGGGGTCCTTTTGAGCCTCTTCAATCTCAATGCTTCCTGCTTGTTCTTCTTTGGCTGTTCGACCCTGTTCCGCTTTGAATCCACCTCCTGCACAGGTTTTGTCAGCTTTGGAGTCTCAGGTGGCGCCTTGGCAACACTGCGTTTTGGGACCGGCATCAACATCCACCTGAGCTCCGGTCCTTCCAACACTTGATTCGTCGGAAGATCCAATGGCAGTTCACCTGCCGGGCCCGGTTTGAACCCTGCCCTTGTCATCTCTGCAAGCCTGATGTGAAGCTCACGGTCAGCAGCTGCCAGTTGCTGTAATGAAACTGGTGCAAACCCTTCCATCGGCTCCTTCTTCAACTCATAAAAGAAGAAATTGATGATCTTCTCGTGGGTCTCGAATGACATGGCTTGGGCCACCTCATATGCAATGCCTCTTCTGCGCAAGGCATTATGCACATCCAGTTCAGTTGAAAGGTTGGCCACTATGGATGGCTCCTTGTATGCCGCTTTGATAGACCCTGCAGAGTCAGCCTTCCATATGCGCATGTCATTGTCTTCCTTTACGTTGTTAACCTCCTGGGTCCTTGAGGTGCATTTCGACCATTCAACGTAGCGCACCCTTCCATCTTCAACGCACTGAACTATGGCATTGATCAGCTGGTGCGAGGGTTCCAAAACATTTGCAATCTTCAGTGGGTGTATCCTGGCTTGTAAGAGGTCCAAGCGTTGAGCTATCTCTGGTGGTGGTAGCTTGCGAGGTGCTTCCATCTCATTCGAGTCCACCTTACGCCTCAAGTCGGCGGACGTAAGTGTATGAGACTCAAAAAATAATCGTCTCAACCTTGGAGCTTCGGCATGCTCAGCTGCTCCTAAAATCGGAACAACTACTCCATCCAGGAACGCTTGCTCATCTGCTCCCGGCTGGCATGCCACTGCAAAGGCAAACGTGGCATGAGTTGTCCAACCCCTCAATGCCATTGCATTCAGAACTCCATCTGCAAGTCCGATGGCCTTCGCCCTGGTCTCAAAGACTGCAGCGCTGTCTACCAGCGACATGGTTCCGACGCGGGTCAAACAACAAAAACAAAAAAATACAAATGGTCTCGATATTCATGAATTCGACTTACTTTGGCTTCAATGCATCAAATCAGAGGTTTGATCATGCAGACTGTGTCACTTAAGACAAGGACCTTCGTCCCTCAGCTCACTACAAGCTATCTTAAGCCGCACGCGCAAACGATGCATTGAATGCCCAATTTTTCATGTTTGATTCACTGAAATGCACTGACTTCCTTCGGCTTCCTCAAAGAAACGTCCTGCCCTTTTCTCTCTCTCGACTTCTCCGCTTGCCACTTCGGCCGTGCAGTTCTGAAAAAATTTGAAGGACGTGCACAGTCACTCACCGCATTTGCAAAAAAAACAGACTGTCACAAACTCACAACATTGCAGTGCACGTCTACCGTCTGAGGGCTCGCGCACCACTTGGCTCTAAAGAGCTATGTGCTTGCACTCTTACGTGCTGATGGCATTGTGAGTCCAAAAAAAAACAGCAATTGCAAATCATCCAGGAAAACACAAAACCGGCTTCACACACACAGGAGATGGTTGTGACTTGCAGCCAACGCACTCTGAGAAGCAAACTGTGTGGTCTGGGCCAGGCTAAACTGCTGGAGCTCTGTCCGCACACTCAAGTGCCGACTGATCATGACAACAAACTCTGACTGTCACGATGTGCACACCACTGCAAAAGGAAAACTTCTCTGCCAAACCCTTACACCAACATGAAACATCTTTCACGTCTGCACTCCGTCAGCCTGGATTCCTGCAGCTATCTACACCAGGCCTCTGAGGTGCAAACTGCTCCATGGTGAGACCGTTGATCCCTGGTGCATGGGGCTTGGTTTCCGATCGTTTCAAAAACAAAATCGAAACGCAGACAGTGGTGTGACAAAGAGCTCACTGTTAACAAACAAAATCCCACAAATAAAAACGTTAGGCAGCTCGACATCTTTCAAGTGTACAAACCCCTGCCCCTCAACCAACAAACATCCGAACCAGACTCTCAAGACACTTTTCAAAGTCATTGCACTCAAGATTCCAGGTGGACAGGCACCAAACTTGAGGCCGGAACGGGCTGACGCCGCTAGTCGGCTACGGTCGCTGAGTGAAAGACAGGGGTCACTGATGCAATTATTGCAGCATATGAAAGAAAAACAGCCTAACAAATGTGTGAAGCAAAATTCAATGCTCAAATGTTCCATGTCTATGGTCTCACTCAGCACACTGGGGTCCAGACTTTGAGACGGCTCACATCACTTGCTGGTACCAGCTAAATGGACTGTAATCAGACATGTCAACAAGAAACACAAAAAAATTCTTGACACTCATGAGCCAGCAAAACATCTGGAACACTTATAAGGCAGATAGTTTCCTGCCTGATCGACTTCCTCGAAGTTGCGCGTAGCTAGCTTACCGCACTTCAAGACCACTGCATCACCATCATCATGGTCAGTATTGGATTCTTTCGCAATGTGACAACATCCACTGATCACATGTTTGAAGACCCTGACATGAATCTGAACTTCCAAGTCTCTGGCCAGAGAGTCTCCGACAATTGGGGCCGCGACTTCGGCTTCCTTCTCCTCGTCGGATGTGCTGCATTCCATTCCTTGGAATTCTGGTCTCTCTGCACGATCACTGATTGACGACATCGATGCAGCGTCTGTCCATGGATCATCGGCCGGTTCTGACTGAGAGTAACCTTCTGAAACTTCTGACACTTTCTCCCAGTCACAAAGCAGTGCATCATCTGTTTCCGAAAACCCAGCATCATTGTGGTTGTTTGCTTTGTACCACCCGTCTTCGGTCGCAATCTTGGACATGTCCATCATCGCCATTTCAAGCGAGATGCACGGCTTCCTTGGCCAACGCCTAGCCCTGGAGGCATCTGGATCAAAGTACCCGTGCTGTATTGCCATTCCAATTGCTTGCAACGCATGTAGCACCGGCGCCTGCCCGTCACGGCTGTACTCCAGCGGCATGCGGGCACCTGGGTCTGTGTGGTACCCTGCTAACCTCCTCAGGCTCGTGTCACACCCTGCCTTGGCCATCATGCTAAGCATCGTTGCCTTCAAGGAATGTGTGCCCAAAAACTCCCACGGGACAGTAGGATTCAGGCTTCTCAACAACTCTCTAATCCAGGAAGTTGCCTGTGCGGCTTCGAGGGGCACCTTCGCCCATCCTCCATCGGCAAGAGGGGCCGGCATCGTCGGCTTTCCAGGTTGTGCTGACAGGCCATGTAGCTCCCTGTGTTGGAGCCAAGTTGACGCCCAATCCTGGCCTGTGATGCCTGGAATGTTGCATGCAGCTGGAAGGAGCCTTTGCGAGTGTTTCTGTCTTCCAGCATTCTTGTGGTGATAAAGGCCACATTCGAGGAAGCCTTTTCCTTCAAATAAATCCAAAAAAGGTTCCTGTTGACAGAACTGACCGTCCATCCATCTAAGCCTCATGTGCAAAACCATGCAACAATACCCTGCAAAGATTCCCAGCTGCCCAGAATCGTCAATGGCCAGGTTCTCCAAAAATGCAATCTGCTTGACTGTAAGAGGCTCCTTCTTCTTGGGAATCACTACGGGTACCACCACAGCCCCTTTGACCCTGGGTGAGCTCATGGTTCCATCCACTTCTGCACCCAGCATGTGAAAAGCAAATGCAACTGCTTCCAAAAACCTACCTGGCTTCGTTCTTGGCGCATTGAGTTCTCTGAGCTCTCTGACGTAGGCATATGCCTGCTCCTCTGCAATTGGAAGAATGGTTGCAGAGGGGTCTAGGCCCTTCTTCCATCTTCCGAATGCCATCAGAGACGATGCCCTGGCGCGGAGTGTAGACAAAGACTTTCCGGCCAACGCATCAGACAGGATCTGTTCTACTGGTTGTGCTCCTTCATCACCTCTGAGCGACTTTGCAATCTGACGGCCCACCAGCGACCCATCCAGATCATCCATAATTATGATCCTCCAGCTCTCCAACGCCTTGGCAAGCGCCCTATCTTGCGCCACAGGCCACGGCACTAGCGACGTCTTTCTTGACCACTTCAGGCGGCCTTCTGCTTCTGCTGTAGGCAACGAAACTGCGTCATCCATTACCGGTGCCTCTGCCACAAAAGTTGGCGGTGCAATCAGTCTTGGACGTTTGTAGAAAACAGGGTTCACTGGCTCCCTTTCCCACGGCAGTTTGATGTTTGACTTCTTCATGCCTAGTCCAAAAGCAGCTGCATGAATCATCAAATCCATGGCTTTCACTCCCACGCTCCCCGTTTCAGCACCTACGGGTCGTGAGAGTATTTCCCACCCACCCACCCTTGAATGGAGAAAAACGGAGAAACAAATAATCAGAAACATGTAAACTCAGAAAAGCCACACAAGGCCAGACAACACACAAGTCAGAGTCACTGTTTCAGATTTGTTTGTTTGTTTCCGTTGTTCTTCTTTTTTTTTTTAACCCTTGTAGCGCTGCCACACAAAGGTAAAGAGTGCCACACCTGGCCACACGCGTACGCGAGCGCGAGGGGAGGACGCGATAGGAGGGAGTGAAGAAGGAGGTGGCTCACCACCAATGAACCGCGTAAATAAAGGCTCATCACTAAAGTGAGGCGCAACATAAAAGGAGTAAAGACAAACAGCACACTACCCATCGTAGGTAGTTCGCAAACGTGCCATAAAACGGAAGTTCGAAACGCATTCGTAACGAAAACGCCATATTCAAAAAATTCACATGCAAAACCGTAAAACACAAAGCACTCAGAAAACGACACATCAAAACAATGACATCAAACGCACAAAGGTCAATTCTTTTTTCTCAGCAGAGTTGGAGCTTTTCGGCCATCCTCGTTCGGACCCATGGATCCCCCCCATTCTCTAATGGGTTCGATTCACAAAATTCACAACATGCTCGAAAGCTCCAAGTGTTTCATTTTCAGGCACCATGTCACATGTGCGGAGCAAAAAGTGCTTTTGAAAGCGTGAGGGAAAGTCAGCTATGTTTGAAGGTGATGCCACACGCAGAAACCAAGGGAGGATCATAGCCTCCTCGCAAATCTCAGAGGCAAGTCTTACCAAGCTCGTGACACCAGGTGCACTGGAGTATCCCTTTATCAATCCAAATCTTGAAACATCATTGTCCAGGCAGAAAACAAGGTGCTGTGAAAAAATGACTGATGACCAGATTCGCATCGCCATGACAACTGCGAGCGTTTCCAACTCAGCAATGGCATTTTCTTGATCCTTAGTCATAAAGGGCTCGATGTGTTCTGGTTTCAACTGCATTTGGAACCATTGCTCGACTTTGCCATCGGGACTGCAGAGCACACCCCCTATACCTCCATTCAACGTTGGTTCAAAACTGGCGTCAGTCAAGATAAACCTAGTATGTCTGGTCGCCATGTTGATCATCCTGGGAAGGCTGGCAACCAACCTGTCTCGAAAAAATTGTAAAGCATTGGTCAATTCATCACTGATTTTTGCTCTAAAAGGCTTGGCATATATATGGTCATATACAGACTGTAAAACGTACTTCCCTGACAACCCAAAAATCTGCCCATGCGCGAAAGCAAGCTTGCCGTTCAAAATTTGACCATCTTTGTATTGCAGAACACCTTCCTTCAGTACGGTGGAAATAATGTCCACCAAATCTTTCTTGCGTTTTTCAGTGTTCATGACTTCAACCTGTCCAGAAACAGATTTGGATAGGTCAATCACAACCCCCAATGAGGAAACAAGCTCTGAAAATGTGTCCGCCTTGGGCCCCTCCTTGTCGTAGGCCCATCCGAGAAGTTCAAACAACAAGCACATTGATGATTCACTGCTCTGCTGCAACTGCGGAGGTGAAGCAACCACAAAATCGTCATAATAACATGTAGTTGGCAAGTAAAGACATTTGCAAGCAAGCCACTGTATACACCTTGAGCAGCGAATGAAAGCATTCACTGCCGCTTTGGAGCCAAAGGGCAGACACACTTGAGCAAAGACTTCGTTGGTCTTTTTGTGTGGGTTGTAAACACATATGTATGAGAAGGGTTTGGATGTCGGTGCAACACAAAGCTGACGGTAGGCTGCTGCTAGATCAAAGGATCTCGCCCGCAACACAGTGCTCTTGCCACGCTCTCTCAAGCCTGCCATCATCTGCAGTAGCATCGCACAAATCACATCCACATTGTCAGCTGTAGCCTGATCCCTTGCAGTGACTGTCGCATTCACTGAGCTCATACTGTAGTCATCTATAGGCCGCAACTTCTCGCCTTGCTGTAAGCCAAATCTCCTTGAGACAACTGCATTGCTTTCCAAGGCAGCCCATTCCAAAGGTCCACGTAGCCAGCCCTTGTCCACCTCATCCAGTGTTTTCTGATACAGTTTTATGTCAAGGTCTGGATCTCCGCTGGATGCATTGGACCCCTTCAAGGCAAAACGTGCTCTGGCCGCGTTCGAACTAAATTCAGCTACTGCCATGGTAGCTGGTACAAACTTCTGAGGCAGGACTCCACCTGACTCAGGCAACTCGCCAACAAGGTCAAAGCCTCTCTTGAGGTCGTCCACAAGGCCCATATCCGGGTAGGATTCATCCCGCAAGATTTTATCCAGGAGCGCGATGCGCTTTGTAGACATAATCGCCCGCATTGGTGTAGGCATCGCTGATAATACTTCGTTTTCTTCATCTCTCAAGGATTTTGCAAGCGGCAAATATTTACCAAACCATCTGCACCTGTGGATGACGATGTCATGGTATGAGAGTTGAACATTGGCATCGACTGCAGTCTGCACGGCCTCTGACATACCCAAAACAAGATGTTGTGGATGGCCAGCCATTGCCACCTGAGCCAGAAATCTCTCCGGCGACCAATACATTCCAAAAATAATCTCATCAGCTCTGACGGTGCTGTCACATTTTACGTGGACAACTGTCGAGCACCTGTTGCATGTCCACACACCGCCACCATCATTATCCAATTTGTTGGCAACCAGGCCTTGCGTAGCATTGGATTTCAGTAAATCCAATGATACTGTGTTGCAGTTGTCAGTTTGACCTGTTTGCCCAGCGCCGACACTGGAACACCCCCCTTGAGGAGTGCGGCGCAACATTCGGGATTGGCATGGAATCAAAATTTCAGTATTTTCGGCATTGTCACATTGAAAAACATGGCATTGCAACGTGTTCCGCTTGGAGTCAAGTGAAATGGCCACATCGTGGGGTACATGTAAAATTTGGCGTACATTCTCAAACTCTGGGACCAACTGTGGCATACGCTTGGGTTGTTGATTTGTTACTGCTGCTGCAGCCCTCGCAAGCTTGATTTTCTTTGCTAAATCAAGTGGTCCCCAGCTGTGAAGTTGTTGTAAATGCTCCGCCACCCCACGCACCAGGGCCTCACAGAAGCTCCGGGGATATTCGGCTTCCAAGGCAGTGTCAAATTGTCCATTGCGGAATTCGTAAGGTGCATGTTCATGTAGTCCATCACATAGCATTGCATGAGCATTAACATTTGCACAGTTTGTGGCGATACCAGTCTTCTTTAATCGACGTCCTCCAAACATACACATGTCAAACTGAAAGAAGAAAACATTTGTCTGGCTTTTTATCGTCTGAAAATAGGATGTCTGCCAAAGCCAGCTCCGGAGGGGATTCTCTATAGTCCAAACTGTTGTGGATGGCAAGCTCAAAATTAGCTTCTGCATAAAGTGATACAAACGGTTTGCAGCTCTAAGTCTGTCCCGTGAATTTTGGCTAAGCAAGTGTGGGGGAAGTCCATCTGGATATTGCTTCGACCTCATCGGTCTGGGCCCAAAATGGGCCTTGGACATCCTGCGTTCCCTTGCTCTTGAAGCGGTGCCGCATGGTACCCCAAAGTGAACCCATACGCACTTGGGATCCGACACCCACTGCATGACCATTTCTTGCACTTCAGGTTTCTGAAGGTCAAGGCAAATCACCTGGCTTTTAGGATGTTTCACTTTGTGATCAATTCCAAAACTGTCAGGTAGAAGGGCCCTGATGCACGCAGTAAGGCCGGCTGTCCCACAAAAAAGCTCTATACCGAAACAGCCATCAAGAGGGATACTTCTCGGAGAGGGCAGTGCTCCATCATTAGTTGGCATCTTGGGCTCAACATTGTTCAGAAAGCATTGACTGGATTTCCTTTTGTATCCTCTGCCATCCTGTTTTCAATGGCTTTCGTGTTCAGTCTGTGGATGGCTCTTGTAACACCCAGGAATACAGCACACGTGTTCCCTGGGGCATTTCTTGTCTTTGCACTTACCCAGATTGAAATTGAAACAAATCGCCTTGCCAGCTGGTGTCTTGTGATGCATCCCATGTAACTGCTGCGGCATTGGTTGACGCTTGCCTTTGCCACCCCCCTGTCCTTTCGGATTTGGGTTACCTCCAGGCTTGGTCACCGGCTTCTTGGTCTTTGTATTGTTCGGGTCGGCCCTTCTGTCATTGTCTGACTGACGTGTCAATGGCACAGGCAACATGTGATATGTAACTGTAACATCATTGTGCAACTGGCCAAAGGCCAAGTCAAGTGGCAAAACACCTGCTGCGTTGACATGAAAAGGTGGCTGCACAGTCTCTGCCAGCCTCATGAAGGCCTGCCGATCTGCTCTAAGGAGCTGAGCATGTCCTGGTTTCGCAAATCCTGGTGCTGGCGCTTGTGTCATCAGGGTAAACATGCGGTTGACAAACTTCATGACAGTATTAAAAGTAGCAATACCCACCAGGTCCATCGCCAGAGCACGGCGAGTCATAGCTTGCAGCAGGCTGAGGTCACTTCCGATTTCTGCTTCTTGTTCTTGTTGTTTGTCCTTTACAACCAAGCTGCTGCGAGTCTCATCCAACTTGATTTGCTTATCTGGCCTCTCACCTGCCAACTCCTGCTGACGAGTCATGCACTTGCCAGGAGCTATATATTTGAGTTCACCTGTCTCAAGCATGGCTGAAAATTGATCATACAACCAGTGACTCGGTTCCATAGGCCCCGACAAATCCAAACCTTGAAGCCGTGATCGTTATGGCAACGGTGACCCCGGCAAGGAACCTTGATCAACACCGGCACATCGCAACGCCACGTGTCGAAAAGCAAACAAACACAAACCCGTCAAATAATTTATTTGGCTGATTTTTCCGAGAACATGTTGAATGCAAAACGTATGAATGACGACGCTCACATCTCTTTTTCGTCTTCGCAGATAGGGGAGAAATCTCTGATCCAGCATGTGGTGGATGTTGCGGCACAGCAACATGGATGAATTGCATTTGTTCCATCATGAAATGATGACACTGCTTTGTGTCAAAATAACCTCGAATCCCCAAATCCCATAGGGCGGGAACGAATTCTGTGAATGAGTGGGGTGGGAAATGAAAAAGTGCATGGCCAAAAGTGAGCGATGAGCCCACCCACCCACCTCAAAATTGAACTTGACATGTAAAATACCGACATCCATAAATCATAGGAGCATGTGTGTGCATGAACCCGGACATGAGTGAGTGCATGTTCACAGATTCACAAAGAGGTTGGTCTGTCATGTTTGGTTCAGCAAAACCAAATAAAACAACCAAATAAAATCCAAGTCCATAAACGGAGTTCAGCACAACGCGCGCGCGGCAGAGGAAAGGAGAGAACAGTGCAAAGAGGAGGCGCGTAAACCTTACCTTTCCTATACCTGGGGCGAGCATGGAGAAGCATCATATTTCTAACTTTTGTTTTTCAGCAGCCGGGGGAAACAGCCTAGTTTCACTCACCTAACCCATAAACGGCTATTGGCAAGCCAACGGCCATCTTATGGCAACGGTGACCCCGGCAAGGAACCTTGATCAACACCGGCACATCGCAACGCCACGTGTCGAAAAGCAAACAAACACAAACCCGTCAAATAATTTATTTGGCTGATTTTTCCGAGAACATGTTGAATGCAAAACGTATGAATGACGACGCTCACATCTCTTTTTCGTCTTCGCAGATAGGGGAGAAATCTCTGATCCAGCATGTGGTGGATGTTGCGGCACAGCAACATGGATGAATTGCATTTGTTCCATCATGAAATGATGACACTGCTTTGTGTCAAAATAACCTCGAATCCCCTTTCTGCTTCAGCACAACATTTCAAGCTTGGTGTGAGCAATCGGACACACTGGTTGGGACTGGGTCATGTGCCCCAAGAAGGAAAGCTCATGGATGCTCCCTCGGCTCGGAAAATCAGCAGGGTTTGATTGTGAGGGCACGCGTGTCACCCACAGATTTTGAAATAACTCGTCATCCATCTCCTCCAAAACCATCAGCAAGGTGCGCCAGGCAGTGACGCTAGAGGTGCCTTTGACCAAACAGTCTTGGGCGCCGTAGTTATCTACAAAAAGAATTATCCTTTCGGACTTGAATAGATCCTTCCAGTGTTGTAACGCCAGAATGCAAGCGTAGAGCTCGACCAAGCCTATCACATGTTCACGGCCGTCGACTCGCCACGAGTCAAAAGTCTCTGAAGGCACCTTGCATCCGAAATACCAGATTTCCCCTCGAGGGGGCAAAAGGAGGGCTCCGACGCATGCTTCCGGCTCGTTGCAGCTGTTGTACTCCAGAGCGCCATCTGTAAAAAGTATCCAAGGTTTGGCCTGCTGTTTGGCCGCCAGTTTCCTTGGTTTGCCAGAGGTCATCCTCTGCTTGAGCAGTCTCAAAGCGGAAAGCTGGCTGTCGTCAAGGTCAACCGCAACGTTTCCCACAGTTCCTAACGTGCGAAGGTCGCACATGGCCAGTTTGCCCGCTCTGCCTGCCACCTGCATGTCAGCGAATTGCAACCGCCCTAAATGGGACGGTAAGTCTTTGGGCTTCACTTTCTTCGTTTTGAGAATTTCATCCAAGGTGGCGCCAATGTCGGCTATCCTGTCTTGCTTGTTGCGCACACAAACCACACCCGTGCTGCTCTGCTTCAAGTCAAGTTCAACACCCAAAAGCTCAGCAGTTTGTGAAGGAGGACTGAGCTTATCTTCGGCAAATTGGAAACCAAGGAGGTTCATTAAAGCTTTTGCACCACCCAGGGATGACTGCTCCAATCCGTCCGGACACAAGAGGGGATAGTCGTCGTAATAACACGACCATAAAATTCCAAGCTTGCACCCCAGCGCCCACAACAGCCAACTGACGCGGTTGAAGTGCAAGACCGAGGCTGAAGACCCAAAAGGCAGTGTCAGCATCAAGAAGTGCTTTACCTGCGCATCACTGGGGTCTGCTATGGTGACCACAGTCTTGTTGGCATCTTGCTTGTAAGCGCTTTTCAGGTCAAGCGCTGTAGCACGCATCCCACAGCGGCCCCACCAATCGTCATGGACCGGTCCGGCAAGTTCTTCTCCATTCCTCAAAACAAATTGCATCTCTCTGGTGTGAAGGCAGTGCTTGAAAACTATCAGAGCCGCCCAAACGATGTGGTCCATGGTCTTCAGCGTTATCTTATCGACTGTTGTAAAAGTTGCATTCAAACGGTTTTCACAAAAATCGTCAATAGGCCTAAGCTTGCCCTTCTGTTCACCGCAAAAACGTCTTACAGGCAACCACTGCTGTCCAACCCTTTCAGTAATTTCTTCAAAGGTGTAGGGACCCTTCAGCCACTGCTTTTCAGTGGCTTCTCGGAGGGTGATGTCATAG